TCATCTTAAAAAGATCTCAGATTTTACAGTTTTAGATTATACAAAAAACATTTAAAGGTGAATACTGATACAGAATTGATGGGTAGATTATAAAATCACTGACCTTCTCCTTGTGTCTTTCTTTCAGTTCACAGTTTGTCAGACTTCTGGTTTGCTCTTTGAGAGACTCAAACTGACACTGGGACTCTTGTAGCTAAAAAAAACCCCAAAAAAGGATTTTGAACAAATAGTAAAGCCTTGAAAAACACACGGATATGGTGCATATGTCAATCTTAATGTAATGAATACGCACCTCTTTGTTCTTATTCTCCAATTCATTCATCAGAGTCTGCACATTCTTCTCAGCTTCCTCTCTGCTCTGCTGTTCATCCTTCAGCTGCTGCTGGACTTCACTGACCTTGTCTTTAAGCTGGAAGGAATGTAGGGAAGTTTACATTGAGTTTTTTTTTTTTTTTTACCATTAACAGTGTTAGCTGGTTTATTGTTTTTACGATTTGAAAAAAAAAATAATGCTAAAATACTAGTATTGCATCATATAAATAATATATCTACACTTTATTGCTACAGCAGCACCTTCAGCATCCTCGTGTTTAAATGTAGTACAATGGTTCCTTGTTAATCACGGGAGTGACTTTCTAAAAATATCCCTCAATAGGCAAAATCCACAAAGTAGTCAGCTTTACTTTTTTACAATTATTGTATAATATTCTTATATGTTTTAAGGCTGTAAAACCCCTCACTACACACTTTATACACTTTTCTCAGACAAGCACGAGCATTATCATTTCTCTCTCTCGTTTAAACACTCTCAACGTTCAAACCTTCCTACAAATATAAGTCCAGTATTATAGAATGAAATCAACTTCAGCGTCACAATGCTAGCAATCGAAGATTTATGTAAATCTGACAAACTGAACGCAGAAATGAATAAAACTTTCGAGTGACTTACAGTATCTATGTAATGACAACCTTTACTATGCCCCAAAAACATATAGTTTGTCAAATGCACTGTGACCAACATGACACAAAGCTGAAAGTAAAAAGAAAATATATTTATAGTTAATGATCAGTGGGTGTCTCATGTAGATTATGTGTGGAAATATGAGGACAAATATTGGCTGCCTTGATGTCTAACCTCACTAAACACACCCCCCAAAAAAATCAAGTTCATTTCTCAGATAGTTTTTATATCTGTGTTTTAGCTAAAATCATATGAATAATAAATACATTAAAATCAAGGAATTGACCTTCTTGATTTGGACCTCAAGCTCCTCCTTCAGGGAATTCAGGTCTTCCTTATGTCTCCGCTTCTCTTTATTGAGTTCGTTCTCAAACTAGAAGAAAAGGATGATCAAAATGAAACCAAAAGATCAGACAATCCCAGTCTCTGGTCTTCAAACGGGTCACCAGGCTAAAAAGGGGGTTTTTCTGTAGACCTTTTTCCTGATCTCCCTGATCTCTGCATTCTTCTTCTCCAGCAGATTTTGGGTTTGTTTCAGCTCATCAATAGTCTGACTTGTGTCCTCATGATCAGCTGATGGCTGATGGATCTATAAATCAGTAAAACAAATGTGATTTTTAAACTACGACACCTCATATTTTTGTAAATATAAAATGAGACACAGAGTAGCAAATCATTTTTAACCCATTGTGCCAATTAATCACATTCATGAATCTTTCATTCAGATTTACAGTAACACCAGAACTGAGTAAAGCTGTTGATGTCTTTTGAGATATGAGACAAAACTGCAGGGACAAATGGTAATGAATAAGAACAATTACTGCAACAAAGATAATAAAAATAAACACCAATGATAACTTCTGTCCTGATTAGAGGCACTGAGCTTCATAGCAGCAGCTGAACCTCTGACTAGATATGATATCAAACATGAAAGAGACAAATATGAGATGTACTCATGGAATGAAACTAAAGGAAATAACCTGTTTTTTATTGGTTTCCAGCTCTTTCTTCAGCATCTGCACATCATTATCTTTCATTTTCAACTCTGCATCCATCTCTTCAATGACTTTCAGTGAATCATCAGGGTCACAGGAGAGAGGAGACTACGACAGACAAACCAAGAGACACAAATCAGGATGAAACCTGTGTTCAGATAAATCTTATCAAAGCAGCATTTTCCACTGTAAGTGGTTTACAATCACAGTTATGTAAATATTTAATATATATAGGGCCTAACAGGGCCCAAGTTTTATATCATCACTCATAATTATTTATAGTTACAAAAGTAGGACGGTTTAAGAACGTAAAAACATTTCAATTTTGTTGCAATACATAACTGCTGTCAGTATTAATTCCTTATTAGTTGAAAAATATAAAAATATCTATAGATACATTAAAAATTAAAATAAATGTAATCACTTTTCTGTCCAGAAGATCTTCCTCAGCGTCCTTCCTACTCTGCTGCTGTGCACCCTGGAGCTTCTGCTCAAACCTGGCCACTATGTCGTTAAACTAGGAGAAGAGTGAGGTGAAGGGTAATCAAAAAAAAACTGCATTTCTCCAACTCGATACAGAAGGAATGAACATCATACAAGACAAACCACCTTCTTCTTCCTCTCCAGCCTTTTCTTCACATTAGCATCCACCTCCCTCTGTTCCTCACGCTGTAGCTGCTGCGCTGTAGCTACTTCCTCATTCACCTGAGATCACAGAGAAAAAAACAACATAAGAAATTAGTATATTAAATGTACATTTTGTTAGCATTGTTAACAAAATACACATATTCTTGAATTGGTAAAAAGTGTAATCAGGTTGCAAAACAAATATTATTTTAAGTGATCTAGATCAAAAGCTGTACATTTTAATCCTAGAAGTCCTTTTTAATTCTGTAAAAAACAGGTTTGGTACAGTGGTCATCAGCACTGATTGCCATTGCAGCTCATTTTCCATCGGCTGATTTTTGCAACTGAAAAACTGATAACTGTGTCTTCTGAATGAAAAGACAAAAGTGTGTTTAATCAAAGAAAAGATCAAATACGGCTGTGCACCCTCAGTATGTTAAAGACTTTTTTTATTGTTAAAAGACGACGTTTCTTCTAACCATCACCATGTGCTCACCAACTGTTTACTTTATCTCCTGACATTCACATGTAGTTCTTTAAAAAGTACCATAACATGGTTGTCCTGAGTTAGTGTAATATAAGGTCGTGTGTGCTGTAAGAGGTGATGTTGCTTACTTTGTTCCTCGTGGTGACAGCAAGGCCGAGGTTCAGCTGTGAAGAGGCCTCCTGCTTTTCTTTAAGCATGTCAGGTGTCATCACCTCAGTTTTATCCAACTAACAAACAGAAGCACAGCTGAGAGGATCAATTATTCATTCATTTAGGTTAGCATACAGCTAAGCATGGACTAGATGACAACTGGGGAAACATCTGAGCTGGTTTCATGCATTTAGACCACCTCATTCATGCTCTCCAGCATCTTCTTCAGAGTCTGCATCCTCACCTCATCATCCCCCCTGTGCTGCTCCTCACCCTGCAGCTGCTGCTGTGCCACAGCTACTTCCTCACCCACCTGAGATTAGAGAAAAAATGTTAGAGCTTTTAAAATAAAGCTTCAAAATTTTGGAAGATTTAATTTGCAAAAATGTTACCCACAACATGGTTTGGTGAATTATTCTCCAGTGTCTGCAGGTTCTTCTCATCTCCTTCCTCAGTCTGGTGTTCATCACTGAGCTTCAGGGCTGCAGCTTCTTTTTCTTTTAACTTGGACAAAAATAGAACATTATGAAAAAGAAGCACGTTTTGGAGCGATCATCAGACATAAAGAATATTGTGTGTGTGTGAAGGAAATGCTCTAAAAGTGAAATTTCAGACTATTTACAGTCATTTAGCTTAACACAATAAAACTGCCAGCATTATATCATGGACACTCTGCAATGCATCCTTCTGATGGAGGATAAGAGTCTATATAGATCATAGAAAAACACCTAAAGCCGGAACATTTCATCATTTTTTTTAAATAAGAGGAAGATGAGCTACTGATCAAATATGGCTGTGCTCCCTCAGCATGCCTCTGTTGCACAGGTGCATAATCTCAATGGTAAATGTCATCAATTGAAGTCAAATCTAATGGATTATTTATTTTAATGACTTTGCTGAATTTAGAGATTGTATAATTATTGGCCACACAGATTCTGTGAAGGTGGTGTACTTGTTCACTGTAGTTGTACTTGCTATAAAATATTGTTTTATCAGTGGGGCTAATAAAGACTGAAACAAGCTGTCAAAAGTCAACAAAGCAGCAACTCTAAAAACTCATGTTTGCTTTACAATGGAGTCTCTCTACGATAAGGTAAGATAACTCTTTACTGTCATTGCACAGTCATACATAGTACAATAGTAAAATGAAATTGGAAAACTGTCCAATATCAGCACTAGATACAACACAACATTACACGATACCACACATCACAACACAGTAACTTAACTTATAAAAATGACGAATAAGTGTATGTGTATTGCATACTGTTACTATTTCACATTAATTATTATTCCACCTTGTTTTTTTTTTTTATAAAAATACAAAAATATTATTATTGTTATTGTTGTTACCCCCCAAAAGAAGTCCTGGGAGGTAACCAATCAGGTCAACTGTTTGCACTGATTAGGGCCGTTGCCCTGTTGTAAAAGCTGTCCTTGAGTCTATTTGTCATTTGTCTAAGTTTGCCCCACTATCATGCCTTTATTCACAGACAATGACAGCCATTCATTTTTACACCATCTGTAATTTGTTTTTAGTGCAGCTGGTTCATTTCTCTCTCCTCCCCCTGTTTTTTTCCTGAGTTGCTATCTTATCTTTGTGCATCTGATTCATCTCTGACTGAACTTTGTTGTTCAGGTTAGACTTCCCTCTGACACGCAATTCTGCTTCTTTTTTCATCGGAAGTAGATAAAAGTAATGTCCATTGTTTACTCACATGCTTGTTGTCATTTTCTGTTTCCCCTGAGTTCAAAGCTTCATTTGAATTCCTCTCAGCTGTCTTATTTTCATTTTTGCTCCCTCCTCTCAGAAACACAAAACATGGTAGATTAGTGTTTTGTTTGATTCTTATAAAGTCTTGAGTAAGTCTTAAGGTTGTATCTCTCATTATCCAACCTCTCTTAAAATACCATTATAATGGGAAAAACTATTCATATAGCTCATTAAACTTGTATCAAACTGAAAAATGAATTTGTAACTTACTGTTTTTCTTTTGCTTACACTTGTACGTGACAGTAACAACAAGAAGAATGGGCACCGAGACAACAATAATAA